TGACACCACTCTGGTCATGATGAGGGTAGTAGAAGCTGTCATGTGCTGCTCAGTGCTTCTTGCAGAAGTGAAGAGCTGGCCGGGAGTGGTGGCTCACGCCTGTAATCCTAGCTCTCTGGGAGGCTGAGGTAGGCGGATTGCTCAAGGTCAGGAGTTCAAAACCAGCCTGAGCAAGAGCAAGACCCCGTCTCTACTATAAATAGAAGTAAATTAATTGGTATATATATTAGCCCGGCATGGTGGCGCATGCCTGTAGTCCCAGCTACTTGGGAGGCTGAGGCAGTAGGATTGCTTAAGCCCAGGAGTTTGAGGTTGCTGTGAGCTAGGTTGATGCCACTGCCACGGCACTCACTCTAGCCTGGGCAACAAAGTGAGACTCTGTCTCAAAAAAAAAAAAAAGAAAAAGAAAAAAAAAAAGAAGTGAGCTTAATTCCCAGCTACTGGGAATGCTTCTCTCAAACTACTGTCTTCATGAATTGCCTCACCCAAAGACACATCCTTCCCCAAAACAGACTAGATCCAGCCCCTCACTCTAACAACAGACAATTCTGAAAAGTCATTCTAGCTTCAGAGTTCCCCATGGAGTCAGTAAAAATCTGGATTGAAAGTATATCCCAACATAACTTCTCTCTCTGGCAAATCCTGCTTCCTTTCTGATCCTGCCCAATCCTGCTTCCTTCAGCAAGAGCTGATTGTAACAATTCTTAGTAATAAACTGAATGAAGAGTTCCCTTCACTTCAGAATTTGCTTCCCAAATAACTCAACATTTAACAGTGAGTAAGTAATATGTTATTACAAAGCTAAATCCTCATAAGACCTTGAGGTTTATAACAGTTAATGCTTAGTGTTTACTATATATCAGTTATTCTCTTAGGCATTTTACATGTACCAACTATTTTGTGTACATATGATGGTAGATGCCATTATCATGCCCAAGATGAGGACACTAAATTTCAGAGAGGTTAAGTAACTTGCCATGGTCAAACTGCTCACAAGTAGATAAACTGATCTATTCATCAAGTTAACCTGTCTACAACCGTCCTATTCATCCCCTCACTAGAGCTCTCAAAGAAAGTAGCAATTTCTATGGCTCTGGGGCATTAAGATGGTGAGTCTGCCACAAGGGAGCTCTCTCCAGGTAACATGTTCTTTGCTGTGTACATTTTAGCAAGCAGACAGTTTTGACCTTAGTAGCAGAATCTCCAGTCTACCTTTGTCTTCTTTATGTGAACTAAGGAAAGTTAATCTTTAAGACTTTGTTTTCTCAACCATTAGCCTGGGATAACTAAATTGTTCTGTGGAGTCCCCATGGAAGTATAACAGAAAGTAGACATCAGTGGGGGGAAAAGTATTTCCTCTTTTCTCCAATTTTTAAAGTCCCACTATTTTTTTGTTTTTACTTGAGGTATGTGTGATGAGGTTTTTTTTTTTTTTTTTTAAGTCATTCTTTCTGGAAGGGATCTCTGCCTTTTATCCACTTCTGCTCCCAGTGATCTCTCCATAATACCATCTGCAGCCCAGCACACAGGAAACCAACCAGAGGTTACTGGAACTAGAAATAAGTTCAGAAATGATCTATTCTAGTGCATGAAATGCTTTTGGCTTTTCAGTGGATCAAGAGATACAAAATATATTAATGATACACTAAAGTTTAACTTTTATAAATTTATTTAGCTCAGCATAACTTGGGTGTTGGTTGCAATGGGATACTGAAACCACTCACTAATATGCCATCTCAGTTATGCCAGTTCTACTTTTGAAATGTAGTACAGCATGTTGTCACAAACCCATCATTCCATCATCTGCATCTTAATCCCTCTTTGCTAACAGACATCTTGAGTGTGCTTGGTCTTTCTGTTCTCTTTTCCCATTTCCAAGACTATATCGCAAAAAAAGATGTGTTATTGCTATGCTATCCACTTTACTACTTCTTACTTCTTTATCTCCTCTTACCCATTATCTTTTTTTCTTTAACTTTTTTTAAAATCTACTACCAATATTCCTTATGTTACAGTTGGGCAAACACGTTCCTACAAGAGCAGTGGCATGCTAGTGGACTTACTACCTAGCTGGTTACGCTTTACCTATTTTTTGAGTCTGGCACTGTCCAGACAATGCTATCCTATACAAGCATAATCTGACCCACATCTGTAATTCTAGACTTTTTAGTAACCATATTAAAATGTAAAAAGAAACAAGTAAAATTAATTTTAATAATTTACCTAGTAGTTCTAGATATTCAAAATACTGCCATTTCAACATACAACCAATATAAAAATTAATATGATATTGTACATCCTTTTTTCACATTAAATCTTTGAAATTAGATGTCTATCTTACACTTTCAGATACATCCATTCAGAGTAGCCACATTTTAAGTGCTGAATGGCACATGTGGCTACTATATTGGAGAGTGCAGGTATAAGCTGGACTGAAAACACGACTGAGCCTTTTCTTTATACAAATCTGCCAATGACATGAGAACCACTGCTTGCACTGAGCATACCAATAATGCAAAATTTCCAGTAAATCAGTCCTGACCTCTCTGGCTTGTCATTCAAACCCAAATTTGCTTTTGTCTCACCCTGACCTCTAACCTTAGGAAACTTCTCCATTAATTTGATTCTGCAACATGCAGCCCCAAATCATTTAGCTCAAAAAACAGGAATGTTACATGTTCTCCAAAGAAAACATAATAAATCAGTCAGCTATATATCAGAGTGAAGCACACAGAACAAGTAAACACTCCACATCCTGTTTCCATTCTGGGTTTACCCTCTTAGAAGTTGTCTAACTCTCAGAAGTTTCCTGAATCCTGTCTACTACCTCAGAATAGCAATTTAGGTGATGCTCCCTTTCCCAGAACCCGCTGTGATAGCTTACTCTCCCATGCCACATCTTAAATAACTGCCAAAACCTAAAAGAAGAACTCAGATAGCCTCCAGGCTTTAGAAATTCAGGCAGGAAGCACAGTAAAAGTACCTCTCTTCAATCATTCTGTTTGCAGAAAACCAACAAAACTCACGAGTAAACAAAGTTTCCAGGCTCCTTCTTTTTACATTTCTTGAGACTGTGACAATTTCATGTGTGTGCATGTGAAAGTGAGTATGTTTTTCTGAATGTTTGTTTCTATTTTTGACATATCCTCCTTCATGGAGCTCAGAAATGAGTTGAATCTATTCATCTTGTATGCACATCATTGGTATGGAGGCAATAGCACTTTCCCACCATGTTTTACATAAAATGCAGAAGTGTACATGTGTAGAGTGATAGCTTATTTTTCCAGTATTATTAGGAAATTGCCTATTTCATATACATGACTTTCTGTGTAATTTAGGTGCAATTTGATTTGTTATGTTTCATGGTACTATGCCATGCGAGGTAAGGACTTCTAGCAACCCTACAAAGTGTCCACCCCCATTCTGCACATAAGGAAATTGAGTCTAGGGAGGTGAAGCAAATTGGACTTGGAACTGATACTTATGCATTATGTTACCTTAGATGTTTGCATGTAGACCGCATTGTCTATATGCAAAAATCCTCACTGTTTCACTATCTCTAATGTTCTCTCCTAAAAAGCTTAACTCTACAAACCATGTTAAGTCTTCTCTGTCCTAATGGTAGTGTCATATCTCACCAAAGAGCAAGAGGTACAGGATTTGTGAGAGCTCTTTTCCATAGAAATCTCTTTAACTAATTTCAACTACTTTGTGTGAATAGGTTGGCTAGAAATATGGCCTATGAGCAAACGAGGCATTTCTTTATGACTTAGGAAGAGAGATGGATCTAGAGATCAATGCTGTAATTCTTGAATCAGAAGTTCATCACTTTTCTTGTGATATGAGTTAGCCAAAGGCAAATGAGTAGCTCAGTACAGATAACAAATATTTCCTGGGTTATCATTATCTTCAAGGCATTATGTAAATATCTATCTATTGATCAGTATATATACATATGTGAGTATGTATTTATTTGAATATGCATACATTCCTTTGAATACAAATGTGACAGAAGCATTCTACTATGACATTTTGAGGCTTTCCAGAAAATACCAGGGGCTTTGTTTAACCAAGCATTCATTTTCTTACTAGACTCCCATTTGGAACAATACTACAGCTTGGGGTCAATGGTTATAGTTACAGTTATAGCTCATAATAGCTATCAAAAACCAGATGTCATATCCAAACAAAACAAACTGAACTTGTACCTAAACAAAATTGTGGTTTTTGACATTATTTCTATGATGGATTTTATACGCACCTTGAGACTGTATTGTCATAAATAATCAGAGACATCACAATAACTAAAGAAAGGCAAAAACTGCTCTCACATTTCAGAGGATGCATTTATTCAATCAATCAAAAAGTATTGATTAAGCTCTCACGGTATACAATGTTTTAGGCAGGGACTAGTATTATGAAGAATTCGGAACATGGTCTTCACATGTAATAAAGAGTTAAACACAGAAAGAACTAAAATTAGGAAAAAGAGAATTAAGGTATTTATTTCAATTTTTGTGTACTGCCTGTGCTACAATCACCGTGATACTCTACAGAGACCCTATAGATGATGGAGACATTGCCTAGAGCTTTGGCATAGAAGAAAGGCCAGAGGACCCACAGCCCTGAGAGCCCCCAGCCACGGCCCCCAAGCACTGAAGGATAGGACACTCTGGCCTGTGAAAATGGAGCCCACATGACTTTGATTTTACATACATGGACCACTGACCTCTCACTGCCTCTAAAATTTCCCATGAAATGTATAAGATGTTTAAAAAATACAACTCTCACCCCACACACATACATATACAAAATTAAACTGATCAATGATCTACTGATAAGCCTACTTTCTTTTCTAAAGTTCATTCTAGATATATTCCTTTCTGTGCATTGTGGATTAAAGATAGCCATATTTTAATTTACTTCATTTTTTTTTTTTTTCTTTTTTGCCTCTGCTCATGCAAAAGATGTAATCTATTTCCCTTCACCTTGAATCTTAGCTGATCCTGGGATTCTCTTGGACTAACGGATGCATCATAAGTGACACTGTGTGATTTCCAAGGCTGGCCTCTTCACGTTTCACTTTCTCAAAGTTGGAATTCTACTCTTGGAACCCAGCCACTGTACTATGTGAAGCTGAATCCACGTAGAAGGCCACGAGGAGATTCAAGGAGCTCTGGCTGACAGCCCAGCCAAGCGCTACCCTATAGCCAGCACCGACTGCCAGCTTTGTAATTGAGCCATCTTGGATAGTACAGGCTCACTGTTCCCTCGTAAGACTGCAGCCCCAGCCAGTACCCCAGAGAGCAGAAGAACTGCCCAGCTGACACCAATCCCACACAGAATTGCAAGAGATTATAAATGGTCATAGTTCTAGGCCATTACGTTTTGGGAGTGGTTTGTTACACAGTGATATATAACTGAATTGCTCTCCACCTCGGTTCAGCTTTTAGCCTCAACCCGGACCCTTAATATCCTCAGTTTTTGGAAATACATTCCCAAGCATTTGGCACACAATAACTGCTCAGCGAATATTACATGTGTGTGTTTACAAAACACTTCTGTACACTCCAAAAAAGTCATTTTAGAAAATTAACTGGTAACTGCATGTCCTGATAATTGCATGTCTTTAGTGTTTTCACACCACTCAGGGTCATCACTGTTCTTCTTTGGCATGACAATACCAATTTAGAGGAACAGTGGTGGGATGTTGCCGTGCTTGCTTTTTACATCTCTCAACCAAGTCTCATGAACCCTCTCTAGATTTAATATGTGCAGCTGAGTTCCTTGTGGGTTTCCAATTATCAGGACTAGGAAAGGATGTTTTCTTTCCTGAAACTAGATTGTCTCTACGATCTGAACTCCAGGAATCAAGAACAAAGGACTCTGATAGTGGAGCCTGCCAAAGGCACTTGTCAAAAGACTGCAGAGAATATTAGTCCATTTCAGAGATGTGTTCAATATGCAGAACATTCCAAAGATAATCACAGATTGACATATATCATTCAATGCAATTTTTCTTCTATTTTAATAGGTCTCAGGTCTTCCCTATACATGTTCAACCACAGGCATCTTTCTTCATGTTTTCACCATTCTACAAGTGCTAAAGACCCTTTCTTGTAAGTCTTTTGATGAACTGTTTAAACAATATGTCTCACATCTGGACAGTTCCTTATAATATTCAAAGTACTTTAAATATACCATCTCCTTTGTATCAGTCTCTGCATGAATAAAATTCTGGCTTTGGGTCTTTTAAGGTCTGCGTTCCATGGAGGGTAATTGTGGAAGGGCTATTGATCTAGCAGATGTTTGCCTGCTTCTCTCAGATGTTTCTCCAGCCCATTGTCTTTGCTCCCAGGCATTTGTAAAGGCAGGAAATATACAGATGTATTTTATTCTGGGACTTGTAGTAGCTAATTATTTCCAAAACAATCATTTTGAAAAAGCAAAAGAAAACAACAACAACAAAGAAAAAGCAATGGCATCATTGATGCATTGATGCTTTACAATTACTCAAATCTGCGAGAGGCGACATACTGCAGTAACTTCCGTCTGCTGTAACGCACAAGGGTATCAAGTAGGTCCAGGTGAGCATCCTGATTCATCAGGATCAACAAACTCCATAGTCTCTTGCTCCATCTGTGATACTAAAAGTGAAAACTCCACTTTTGATTCCCCTGTTATGTATGAGAAATACTACCATCATTATGAAAGTAAATCACTTGGAATTCAAGGATCTTAGCTAACTGTGTAATTCACGGTGATTTATTTACTCCTTGTGCCTGACATCACTTTCCTATAAGCCCTTCCTTGGAGAATTTCTGGCCACTCACACATCTCTTTTCTTTAACCATACCACTCTCTACCCTCACCCACTCTGGGGGGTGATTATGGGGAGAAGAAAGTGAGAATAAATGAAGGAATAAATCACAAAGTGAAGCCCTGGAGATAAAGCTCATCACATCATAGTTCATCTGCTCCAAGATAAGACTCTCACTTCAAATCCCAGCTCTGACACTTAGTGTACTATTTAAACCATCCAACTTCTCAATTTCCTTATTTATAAATTGGAATACTAATTGTATTTAACACATAGAGTTATTATGAGATAGCATGTATAATGCGCTTAGCACATAAGTATTCAACAAAACTGTTATTATTCATCTTACATCCCACAAATATTTCTTAAGCAACTGGCATGTGCCATACTCTGTGCCAGGCACTGACAACAAGGACAGGACACAGTTTAGCCAGGCAGGGACAGTCAGTCTACCGGGGGAGGCCAGATGATTATCATATGTGTCAACTTCACTGGGCTAACCAATGCCTAGGGTGGCTGGTGAAATGTTGTTTGTGGGTGTGTCTGTGAAGGTGTTTCCAGAAGAGATTTTCATGTGAATCAATAGACTGAGTAAAGAAAAACTGTCCTCAGCAATGTGGGTGGGCATCATTCAATCAGTGGAGGGCCCAGATAGAACACAAAGGCAGGGAAGGGTGACTTCATTCTTTCTGTTTGAGCTGGGACATCCGTCTTCTCTTGCCCTCAGACATCACATCGGTGCTCCTGCTTTTCAGACCTTAGGACTCTGATCAGGAATGAAACCACAGGCTTTTCTGATTCCCCAGCCTACAAATGGCAAATCACAGGACTTCTCAGCCTCCATCAGTGCATGAGACAATTCTCAAAGTATTTACTGAACACATGACATACATAGCATGAGAAGCAAATGGGCACACCAGGGCAGTGTGCACTAAAGGGAATGTACATGGTCAGAGAAGTCTTCCTGAAGGTGGCAGACCTTGAAGCAAGGACAGATTTTTCATAAGTGGTGGAGGGAAAGAGGAGTGAAATGCATGAAAGTACAGTTGGGTGAGCATGAAGGTAGATAAGAGTTCTTACTTAGAGCAAAGATTTGGATATGTTCAATGTATTTGGAACAAAGTGGATCAGCTTCTTATGTTCCACCCACCCATAAAATAAGCATGTGGAGCTCCAGTGGATCATTGTGTTCTCTTCCAACTTCAATGTCTGTCCACACAGGTATGAGTAAACCCAAGTGGCCAATACCAAAAAAAAAAAAAAGAAGGTATTTTAAAAGTAAGGGGAGACAAAAGAAAGGGCTAGGAAAGCACACAATGAAGAAGTCACAGGCAAATATTGAGATGCATTACAGAGGAGATAGTAAATAATTACCTGAGTGTGGGCCTTTCGACCATCAGATTGGGGTCTGGACATGAATGAGAATCATTATGTCATGGATGTGTATGAATAAGTTTGAGAACTCTATATTCTTACACTGAACTGTACAGCTTTATCGTGTGAATATTTGCTCATTTCACCATCCCTTATATACTTGATGACTGCTTTTATATTGAATCCTGAGTAGCAGAAATGAGAATGGAAATAACAACTTAATGAAATCATACCTTTGGCAAAAATGATGTTAACAAGGATTATTATTAGAAATAAGTTCTCATTCATGTTCAGAAGCCAAACCAGTTTGGGAAGAGGATGAGTGTTACCTTTCCATTCCAAGCAAATCCCAAAGGCCGATGTCCCTAACACTTTGTGTGACTACATGCTATTGCTTGTTCCATCCAAAGCACAGCAAAAATTTAGCAACCAAAGGTGAGACAGTCTTAGGCAAAGCATTAAGCATATGATGCAACAATAGAAAATAAAATATTTTAAGGCTAAGGAGAGAAGAACCATTTTGATGATGGAAGAACCAATTTAAATTTACTTTTTAGTCATTTTGGCTGGATGGTGTTTATCAAGAGACCATGGATAAAAGTGGATTGGGTATTGAGGGAAAGAGAGTGCTTCTTGCAGCCAACAGACTCAAGACACATTTTCTTCAATACTATTTTGGACTTTATTCCCCCCATAAGCTTTCAAATTTCAATCACTACCCCACTGAGTCTGGGGAGAAATTGATAAAGAAAATAATATAGCAGGCAATCACAAGTGAATTGAATTTGAGCACAATTGAGATGAACTGCAGTGTTTAAAAATAGAACCATTTCAGAAATGGGCTTAAGGGAGAGCTTTTTTCTCTTATGTGTTGCTTAAATGTTTGAGACCAGAAAGAAGAGAAGGAATTAGAAGGGTGGGCAGATGAGGGTCAGGCTGGGAGGAGGCGAGGCACTAACTTGGCTAAATGTTGACTTAATTCTTCTCGGATTTTCATTTTTTGGACACTTCTTCCAACTACCTGAGCTGCATTAGAAGAGGAAATTGTTAAAATAAAATGGTGTCACATACAATCACAGGTGAATTGGATTTTTCCACATGGGCTGTGGTGCGTAAAGTCTTTTCTTTTTAAGACTTTTATATATCTAAAAGCATATATATCTACACACACACATGCACACACACACACACATATACATATAAAATCACTGAAGTTTTGAGGAAGGATAACAGAATCACAAACTAATAGAGTATTAGCACTGAAAAGGAACTGAGAAATGATCTAACCTATTTCTCAAATTGGACTGTACCATCAGGATCCTCGAGAGAACTTAAAAAATACAATTTCCTGATCCTACTCAAGATCTACTGAATCAGACTCCCTGAGGCGAAGACTGCAGCATGGGTAGTTTAAAAGCTCTCCAAAAAACTTTAAAGAAGCCAGACTCATGTTGAGACTACTGATTTAATGCACCTCTCATGATTTATAGAAGAGGAAACTAAATCTCAGAAAGAAGAATTCATATGGATATTAACTGACAAAGCAAAGAACTGAATCTGGCGTTCCCGGATCCTGGTACATTGTACTTTCTAGTGCTCCAAAACGGGCGAAATAAAAGATTGTAAATGGCCCCAGAAAAATTTAGATTAATAGAATCTCCTCAGGAAAGTGTGGATATCCCCAGATGATGTGATGTGTAATTCCCGGTCTCAGATTGCCAGGGCCAGGTTAGAAGCACACCTTTTCAAAGCTCCCGCTATGAAAACTCTGCCTAAGAGTGCCTGAGTCAGAAATTATAGTGCTACATCTCTGGCTTTGATCTTTTAGAATATAGGCTTATTGGACAATGATCATTTACTTAATTACTGGATAATACAATTTGTAGACTTCAGTCCTGAAATGAGCTCAGGCAAGACAATATGAAGACACAGGTGCAAGGCCTTACCCACAAGGCATTGCAAGGCTTATGTCAGAAAAAAGCTAATGCCTGTAAATATCTAGAGAACAAGCCAAATCAACATTTCCTGTAAGCATCTTTTCCTGATTTAGGAAGCTGCTCATGCCAATAACAGATTCTCAGAATTTGGAGTGACCTTAAGATTCATTTAGTCCAACCTTTTACCAAGGCAGGAATCTCGCTCACATCAACCGTGCAGGGGCGGGGGCCGGACTCTGTCTGGACACACGCAGTGAGGGGGAGCACTCTCTGTTTTTAAGGTAAACGATTTTGTTGTCTCATCTTTTGCTGCTAGAAAAAAATTTCACCTATCAATAAAACATTTTTTCTCTGCAATCTCCAAACTTTATGTTTCTTCCAGAGGCTTCCCTTTAAAAAAAAAATAGTTTCCTGTACCAAAATGCAGCTCCTAAAATATTAGCAGAAAGCTATCAATGACCCCCTTTCATGCCTCTCCCCAAACAAAAGCACTTTTGCTGACTTCCCTTCTGCTGTGTCCCATGGCGTGTTATTCTGTTGTGTATATTACTAGCATAGTCACGTGCTGTGAAACCATGCTTCAGTCAACCACAAACTGCTTATTTGACTGTGGTCCTATAAGATTTTAACACCATACTTTTGGGGTACCTTTCTATGTTTGGATATATTTAGATA